CGTCTTGTCGGTGTTGCTTTTGCGTGTTCATAGAAACAAAATGTGGGTGACTATCCAGTATGCAGCTGCCCAGCGGCTTTCTGTTTTCCGGGCAGAACTGAGTGACGCCGATTGCTCATTTGCCACAAACAAACATTGCCTTAATCGCTGTTTCAGTTGACTCGCAGCAGCGGTTGCTTAGTATTTACTGCGCTCTCTCTTCTGTTACTTCCTACCTTTCAGTGGCAAGATGACTGGTAATGTGTGTGGCTGTTGTCTAGGCTTTGGCATAAACTTTCGTCCTCGCTTGCCACGCACTAGACTGTCTCGCGCTCTGCCCTGGCCAGACTGCTCGGGTCTGGCGTATATGAAAGTTTTCCTGGCGTCTGAATTATGAATGAAGTATTACGATCAGACGCCAAGCCCGGTAGACGGAGTTTCCTCGACATTTTATGAGCCCCAAGTCATGAAATGTTGTGCACCGGGGTCACTCGAAAGTGCAGCACATTCATTTTGGTTGGACAAGTCCACACCGCCCCTTCCACTCCTATATTGTTATGAGTTGATGGCAAAGCCGAGCTGGGTCGACTGGATGTGGAATGATACGTAGTCAACGGCAAAGCCTCCGTGTATGGTCTGTCCAAGTTTTTTTGGACCCTTTTTGGGTCCGACGTAACATGCAGCCTGCGTCAGAGGTTCGGTGCAGTTCGAGGTGCATTTTCTGCACATTTTTCAGCACCTGACCTCAATCTCTCTCTCTCTCTAAGTGTTTGCTCCTATGAAGCTCGGCGACAATTTCGAACGATTAATATTGTTCCTATTGACTGGTCAGTTTCTTTGTTTGCACTTCAGACTCAGTGGCATGGGACATGCGGAAGATCTACTCCATTGTCGATTACCCTATCGACGGTCTCGATATCTCCTGCCTCATGGAGAAGAGTCCAAAATCCTGTGAGTTAAGCTTCTACCTTCTTCGTTCCACAACACTTTTTGGCTGGGCGCGATGTAGGTCAGTGTTGTACCTCATGATTGTGTAATTTTCAAACGGCTTAGTGTTGACATTTTTGTCTCTCCACCCATGAGAACCAGTATATTTGGGAAACTGATTCATCACGTTTTCTGGCGCATTTTAGCACCCCC